GCCCCTAGTCTAAGAGTCCCTAGGCGAAGGTTTTCCCACACAATATCCTCAGCTGTATCCAGGGTCTTACTGACAGCGTTCAAAGCTCTCGCAAAGAGGGCTCGGGAAGCGGGGCTGGGTTCCTGGACAGCAACTAGCCCATTGGCCAAGAGGAGGAGAGGCAGCCCCCCAAGATACATGGAGCCCTGCTGCATGGAGCGAATGCTGGCCCCTTGACTTGGTTGCTAACTCTGGCTAGGAAAACCCCTAAAACAATGCCCCTTCCACTTCCTCTCAATTACAGTCAATCCCAGTCAAACAGTGCCCCTTCCTCTCCCTCTCTCAATCAGCCAGGACTCTGCAACAACTCTAAGCACTTCCACACACTGCTAAACACACGTTTTCCCACACAATATCCTCAGCTGAATCCCCTCAGCTGAAAGCAAGTAAAAAAAAACACTCACCCCTCTAGCAGCTCTCTCTCCTGCTCCTGCTCAGCTGGTTCGACTAATTTCCCTGCACCCTCCATTTACAGTTCGGTTTCTACTGCTCCACTGTTCTTATTCTGTTCTTTGCTTTGTGTGCGTTTTTTAAAACTGCTTTTAAATATCGTTCTTTTCAACTTGCCTAGATGGATGGTTTCAATACAGGAGTCCACGTTATGAAGCAGTTTTTATTTGTTACTTTTACTTAGGCAGGTTACCTGTTTTTTAAACGGATGGGGGGGGGAAACGACAGGCAGTTGCGAGTGACGCGACAGAGAGTGGGCATTGGCTGAGTCTCCCCGTCCGCCATACTTTGCGCCCAACCAAAACAAAGATCGGGACAGCATCGTTTTCAAAATTTCATTTACGTCCCGCCTTCTCTTGCACCCTGAAGCTCAAAGGTAGTCTATACCCAGAAGTTCTTCCAGCCAGACTCAGACCAGAGAGGTGGCCAAAATAGACCCCAGGTGCCTGGGAAACGGAGCTCGGGTGCCCCAAAGAGCAACAGTGAATGCAAGACCAACAGGTGCACCATTGATTTAGGTGGGAAAACGTGGACTAGGCGAGCACAGAATCCCACAGGGACGTTTTCCGCACAAACGGATCTCGTCTCTCCTGCAATTGTATTCCTTTGCCGCTTTCTTTAGTTTCCGCAGAGGTATTTTTGGTGTGAGGGGCCAAAACGAAGGTTGCCCCCTCTTGTGGCGCAGCAAGGGAATTCCTGGAAACAGGGAAGTCTGACGCTGCGCTGCAAAAGAGGGCAAATTTCATTCTTGCCTCTTGGACTGAAAATACCACTGCGGAAACGAGTGGAAGAGGCGGAGGACTAGAAGTGCGGGAGCGGGGAGGCCCGTTTGCGCGGAAAACGTCAGGGTTCCGCTCACTCACCCCCATCAACCCACAGACTGAATCCGACCGTCCGCCAAGGTCAGTCTTGTCTACTCAGACTGCCAATGGCTCTCCTGCCCGTTCCTTTTAACTGGAGATTAGGGGTGTGCCCCCCCAAAAAATATTCGGCCCGATTTGGATTTGGCCGAATCGGGCAGAATCAATTTAGGCAGGCAGAAAGACTCCCACATGTCAATTTCAGCAGTACCAGCTGACTGGGGAGTTTTTTGGCCAGCCGAATGTCAATTTCGGCCCCATTATATCCTATGGGCCACTGAAGTCAATGGTGAAAACGTAGGGTATATTCTGGGGCTGGAGCAGAGGGGGTTTGAGGGAGAGGCTTGTTACTTTTTTCCCACCATAGAGAACAATGGAGGGGATGGGGGCAACCTGTTTGGGGGCCCATAGAATTGGACCCCCTGGTCCAATGTTCTTGAAACATGGTGGGTATCTTGGGGAGAGGCTCCAGCAGCTACCCTGCGAGTTTGGAGACTCTCCCTCAAACCTCCCTCTCTCCAGCTCCCAGAATATACCCTTTGTTTTCACCGTTGACTTCAATGGCCCATAGGATATAACGGGGCCGAATCAGATCAGAGACTCTGAATTGGCCTGCAGGAGCCCGAAAGAGGCCCGAGTGGGCCATTTTCGGGGGTTCAGACTAACTGAATGCACATCCCTACCAGGGATTGAACCTGGGGCCTCCTGCAGGCCAAGCAGATCCTCTGCCACTGAGACATGGCCTGCCCTTACCCAGTCCTCCTACCTAAGCCCAGGTGCTCACCATTTCACAGTCCAAGGCGTAGATGCCCGGATAGCCCTCCGCACTGGGCAGCTTCTCGAAGGTCTTCACAAAGCCCGCCAGATTCTCTTTCCGGCCGTCCTGGACGTGTTGCTGGAAAGAAAGGCAGGGAAGTGAGGAAGCCGACGCTACTCCGGAGAGATTTCAAAAAGGGGGGAGGCGAGAGCGAGAGAGACTGTAGGCTGTGCCGAGGCTTTCCCCTTTGAAGCAGTTGGCACCGGGAGAGAATAAATTGCTCTCGAAATTTCAGTAGAACCCAGCGAGAGGAACAGGTAAACTTTATGTCTGCTCTAAGTCCCACTGGCCACGTGAGGCATGATGGCCGGGGATGAAGGCATCCCCCTTTCTTTGCAGTGGCATCCCCCTCCCCTGTGGAACTCCCCGCCACATGACATCCAGTCAGCTGGATCTTCAAAAGGATGATCCGAAACTTTTTTTTTTGTTCTGGATTTTAAGTTTCTCGCTGGCCTGAGTCATTCTTCAGGGGCTTGTGGGCAGGCAGTGGCCTGTTTCAAGGACGGGACTTCTACTGCATCTCAAGGTCCTTCCTAGGTAAGGCGCGCCAGCCCAAAGGCAGGCGAGGGCGCGCTGCCCAGCAGGCCCAGGGGGGCAGCATTTGCCTCTGCCATCTCGTATGGTTGCTAGCGCCACCTTTTCAGGAGAACTTCCTGCCCCCGGGGAGAGGGGACGCGAAAGCAAAGCAACTGAGTCCCTGGCTTTCCGCAAATTATGCAGAACTAAAATTATTAAAGGAGGCTCGTCACAAAGTTACTTGGAGAAACGACCGGGGACCGTGGGCTGTACCCACTGTGCGCACGGGTTGCTGTGGGCTGGCTCCACACGGCATCACTTTGCATCACTTTATAGGTCATGTTAACACTGATGCCATGATTTGGGTCTGTCGTTCAGACTTCCAGTCCTATTTTGTGGTTTACTGAATGTCCCCAATCTTGTTGATGGGAGCTGAGGCTCAGAGGCAGAGCGCCTGCTTGGCAACGCAGGAGGGCCAAGGCTCAATCCCGGGCTCAACTGGACCGGAGGGAAGGCGGCTTCGCACGCAGCCTCCCCATCAAGCTTTGCGCAAACACAAAGTCCCCGGTTCAGTCCTCGGCATGTGCAATTACAAAACCCTCGGGCGGCGAGGCTGGGAGAGCTGCTGGAGCTGACGGCGTGGAAGCAGAGATACCGACAACCCCGCTCTACAGAAGGCAGTGCCACACTCACTTTTGCCACCTGGCAGCCTGGCGAACCCACCACTCCCGAGCAGCAGCTGTAGTGCGTCTCCCAGCCACCAGGCACTGAAAATAAAGAGGAGCACAAAGTGAGAAGACACCCGGGCACGCTTGCGCAAGAACACCAGAAGAGCCCTGCTGGGTCAGACCAGTGGCCCATCCAGTCCAGCATCCTGTCTCACACAGGGGCCAACCAGTTCCTCTGGAGGGCCAACGACAGGGCATAGAAGCCAAGGCCTTCCCCTGATAAGAATATAAGAGCCCTGCTGGATTAGACCAGTGGTCCCTCTAGCCCAGCATCCTGTCTCACGCAATGGCCAACCAGTTCCTCTGGAGGGCCAACAACAGGGCACAGAGGCCAAGGCCTTCCCCTGATAAGAACATAAGAAGAAGCCTGCTGGATTAGACCAGTGGTCCCTCTAGCCCAGCATCCTGTCTCACGCAATGGCCAACCAGTTCCTCTGGAGGGCCAGCAACAGGGCATAGAGGCAGAGGCCTTCCCTGATAAGAACATAAGAAGAGCCCTGCTGGGTCAGACCAGTGAGGGTCCCTCTAGTCCAGCATCCTGTCTCACACAGCGACCAACCAGTTTCTCTGGAGGGCCAACAGCAGGGCACGGAAGCCAAGACCTTCCCCGGATGTTGCCTCCTGGCACTGGGATTCTGAGGCTCAGTGCCTCTGAACACAAGCAGCCTTGGCTCCCACTGGAGGCCAGAGGTAGGAGCAGCGTGAATGGCCCAATTTGGTTCTGACCAGCGCACAGCCCCAGCACCGCCCTCTGCCCCTACCCACCTTGGCGGCTGGCAGTTTGAGTGTCGGACTGGAAGCCCCGCTGGGATCAACCTCCCCGCCACCCCGCTATGAAGATCTCCAAGTGACCACAGGCCAGTCACTCACCCTCTCCCGGCCCATCCTACCTCACAGGGCTGTTGCGGATAAAAAAGGAGATCTATACCGGAGTAAGGCTGCCCCCCCTCGGCTTCCGTATGGCGCTGAGGTCTGGGGCTGGAACAATCACCAAACTTCAGTCTGTCCAAAATCCCTTTTTAAAGAGAATTCTAGCCCTCCCCAGAGGCACCCTGGGTGACTCCGATGCAGGCAGAACTTGGGGTGCCTTCAGTCGGGGACAGTGCATATGCTTGTCAGGCTTAGATTTTGGAGGAAGCCAAGGAGTGAAATGCCGGGTCTACCTACACTCCCCCAAGCTCCTTACACCAAGGTCAGGATAAAAACTGGACAGCTAGATAGTGTCTAGAGAGACCTCTCTTAGCACCTGCGGAAGGACAGACTTCCGTTTAAATTGCAAGCATAGAGACGGACCATATGCTCTCCAATGCTCCCTCTACGCCGTGGAGTCCTGTGAGCAAAAATTCTACTTTGTGAGCTGCTGGCATAAAAGCTGCGAGCGAGCGATTTGGCTACTGCATACGTTTGCTCTGGAACCGTCCTTCCTGAGCGGAGAAAAAAATGTGTGAGCTAGCTCACACGAACTCAGCTTAGAGGGAACACTCTCCCCCCAAGCTTCTCTGCATGTCGTCCTCACAACTAGCAGACAAAGTAAGGTAAGGCTTCAAGGCGAAGCAGGAACTCGAATCCAGACCTCCTCTCCTCGGCCGAAGGTTCTGAACCCCTCTCCAAGGGGGCAAACCAAGGATAAATGAAAGGCCACTCAGGGCACACCTTACCCCTTTGCTTGCGCAGCCGCCCCCAGTGGTGCACGCACTCCTCCTTCCGGACACAGTTCCCGGCCGGCGTCACCATGTACTCCGTCCCACAGCGGCAACAAACTCTGCAGGAACCTTTAAACACATACATAAAGGGGGGGGGGGTTGAAAGGCAAAGATCCCAGCCAACGCTCCCTCTAAGCCGTGGAGTCTTGTGAGCAAAAATTCTGGTTTGTGAGCCACTGGCATTAAAGTGGTGAGCGAGCCATTTGGCTGCTGCATAAATTAGCTTGCTGTGGAGCCGTCCTCCCTGAGCGGAGACAGAGAATGTGTGAGCCGGAGGCTAAAAAACTGTGAGCCGGCTCACACGAACTCAGCGTAGAGGGAACGCCGATCCCAGCTCCACCCAGGCGTACTCCCTTGGGTAGTGAAGGGCGGGGTATAAATCCAATCTCTTCTCTTCTTCTTCTCTCGCCTTCTTTCCCTCCAATTACAAGATCTTTGGGAAGCCGCTCCCACGTTTCTGCAGCTTGCTTAAGGGCACCATTGGGGCCAAAGAGAAAGAGGGTCAGAGTCTTTTCAAGTGCTCAAGATTCGGCACCTTTGTGCCACCTTGTGGTAGAACGCAGAACTGCGGCACGGACCCAGAGGCAAAAATGAAATGATGCACGGATGCCCTGGACTGCTGGATGCCCCGCCAAAAGTCGTCTACCTTGATCTTTTGGGGGGTGGGTGGGAATGGGGGAGTGTACTGGAAGTGACTAGTGCTACTTACCCCAAGGGTTGCTAACTAACTAAAGACAAGGAGCAGCTCTGCCAGGCTCTTTCCACGTCTGTTGCTCCAATCAGAAACATTCTCAATTATAAATGATTAAGTAGCCCGTTATGGTGGCTCAAGTGGTTAAGATGCTGAACTGCGAGCTGTGGAAGGTCGGTAGTTCAGACCTGAGTGTGCCGCGCATGATGGAGTGAGCTCCCGTCTCTAGTTCCAGCTCCTGCCAACCTAGCAGTTCGAAAGCAAGAAATTGCTAGTAGGTAATACAGGTACCGCTTCGGTTGGAAGGGAACAGCGTTCCGTTCGCCCGGGTGTTTGGTGATGCCGGCCACATGACCACGGAAACGTCTTTGGACAGCGCTGGCTCTTCGGCTTTGAAACGGAGATGAGCACCGCAACCCTAGAGTCGGATTCGACTGGCTTTCGAGCAAGGGAACCTTTACCTTTTATGTTGGAAAGGCTCTCAGAATGTAGGGACATTTCTTCATTGCTGGTGGACGTGTCCAAAAACCATTTTGGACTAAAAGTCTTAAAATTATAGAAGGTATCACTCACCATGTAATCCCACCTAAACCTGAAATTCTCTTGTTGAATCTCTGGCCAGATAAGGATATCCCGAAGCAAAGACAAGAACTCGTTGCCATACTACTAACAGCCGCAAAAATCTTATTCGCTCAGAAATGGAAGTCAGATGAGATTTCCACAATTAAGCAATGGTTTTTTAAAAGGCATGGGACTTTGTAGCGATGGACAAAATCTCAGATCAGCTGGTAACTGCAGACAATTTTACCTATCAGTCACGTTTTGTAGGAAAATGGTATTGTTCCTTGGATTTTATTTCAAATAACTCAAGAGCGAGAATGTACTGCCTAAGAAGTATTTGCACTTTTCATTATATTAACATCCTGAGTGCGTAAAGCTCCCCCCTTTCAGCTTTTTTTTAGATGTTATTGTTAGCTAGTTTGCTTATAATGTTGTATTGTTATTAAGTCACTGCGGTGGCTCAAGTGGTTAAGACACTGAACTGTGGACCGGAAGGTCGGTAGTTCGGCAGTTCAAGACCTGAGTGTGCCACATGACGGAGTGAGCTCCCTTCTCTGGCCCCAGCTCCTGCCTACCTAGCAGTTTGAAAGCAAGACGTTGCAAGTTGATAAATAGGTACCGTTTCGGTGCAAAGGTAACAGCGTTCCGTGCGCCTCGGCGTCTAGTCATGCCGGCCACATGACCACAGAAACGTCTTCGGACAGTGCTGGCTCTTCGGCTTGGAAACGGAGATGAGCACCGCACCCTAGAGTCGGATTCGACTGGCTTTCGAGCGAGGGAAACCATTACCTTTACTTCACCTATCGTTTACCTATTACTTTACCTAACTAAAAATATTAAAACAAAAGAAACCTTCTCAAGTGAGAACAGTTTCAAACGATGGTGTATCTTCGAGAACCACCCCCCACTACACAGTCATCACCTCTGATCGCACTATGTGAAGGCGCAGAGCTGACAACATCCCTCCATTTACAAGATCTTTGGGAAGCCGCTCCAACGCCAGAACGAACGCTGGCGTTTCTGCAGCTGGCGCCAAAGAGAAAGAGGGTCGGAGTCTTTTCAAGTGCTCAAGATTCGGCACCTTTGTGCCACCTTGTGGTAGAACGCAGAACTGCGGCACGGACCCAGAGGCAAAAATGAAATGATGCACGGATGCCCTGGACTGCATCTACCTTGATCTTTTTGGGGGTGGGGGTGGGAATGGGGGAGTGTGCTGGAAGAGACTAGTGCTACTTACCCCAAGGGTTGCTAACTGACTAAAGACAGGGAGCAGCTCTGCCTGGCTCTTTCCATGTCTGTCGCTCCAATCAGAAACATTCTCAATTACAAATCATTAAGTAGCCCGTTATGTTGGAAAGACTCTCAGAATGTAGGGGCATGTCTTCGTTACTGGTGGACGTGTCCAAAAGCCATTTTGGACTAAAAGTCTTAAAATTATAGAAGGTATCACTCACCATGTAATCCCACCTAAACCTGAAATTCTCTCGTTGAATCTCTGGCCAGATAATGATATCCCGAAGCAAAGACAAGAACATGTTGCCGTACTACTAACAGCCGCAAAAATCTTATTCGCTCAGAAATGGAAGTCAGATGAGATTCCCACAATTAAGCAGTGGTTTTTTTAAAAGGCATGGGACTTTGTAGCGATGGACAAAATCTCAGATCAGCTGGTAACTGCAGACAATTTTACCTATCAGTCACGTTTTGTAGGAAAATGGTATTGTTCCTTGGATTTTATTTCAAATAACTCAAGAGCGAGAATGTACTGCCTAAGAAGTATTTGCACTTTTCATTATATTAACATCCTGAGTGCGTAAAACTTCCCCCTTTCAGCTTTTTTTAGATGTTATTGTTAGCTAGTTTGCTTATAATGTTGCACTGTTATTAAGTCACTGCGGTGGCGGTGGCTCAAGTGGTTAAGACACTGAACTGTGGACCGGAAGGTCGGTAGTTCGGCAGTTCAAGACCCAACTGCCGCATGACGGAGTGAGCTCCTGTCTCTGGTCCAAGCTCCAGCTAACCTAGGAGTTCGAAAGCAAGAAATTGCAAGTTGATAAATAGGTACCGCTTCGCTGCGAAGGTAACAGCGTTCTGTGCGCCTCGGCGTCTAGTCATGCCGGCCACATGACCACGGAAATGTCTTCGGACAGTGCTGGCTCTTCGGCTTGGAAACGGAGATGAGCACCGCACCCTAGATAGTCATCACCTCTGATCACACTATGTGAAGGCGCAGAGCTGACAACACCAACGGCCGCTGGACCCTCAAGCCCAATGTGATCTACTTGAACCGTCCGTGGTCCCCCCTCCCGCCGGGATCTCAGTTTCAGAAAGAACCGCTAGATTCAAGCCCAGCACTGCCTTAGACACCAACGAGATTTTGAGGGTACGAGCTTCCGAGAGTCAACGCTCACCCCGAAAATCTTGGTGGCCTTTAGGGGGTTACAGGACTCGAATCG